TCTTCGGTGGTCCTGTAGTCTGTGATGTGCTACAGGCCTTGCCACATCCATCCAGAGTCAGCAGTAGAATAGAAGCCATTCAGCTTCTTTCTGTACTGCCTCTTGGCCGCTGTGATGTGCAACTTTTTATTTTAAGACTAAGTGTTCTTTCTTACTACGTACTTACGCACGCATGCGCCGCGCGGAGTGGCAACAAGTTACAGCAGCTGTGTCCTCGTTGTGTTCTTTCCCGTGTTTCAATGAAGTTCTGTTCTTATGTGTCTGTTCTTATGGTGGTATGTTGGTTGTTCTCTATTGCTGCTGTAACACAGAAATTTTCCCACTGTGGGATCAATAAAGTACCTACCTACCTACCTACAATGAGCACTTAGTATCAGATTAAAATAAAGGATGAAACCAGTTGGCTATAGGGTAACATACTGTAAGATTTGCTTTATGAGCCCAGCATTCACTTTTCTACACATCAAATATCAATAGACATTCTAATAAAATATTGGATACTATAGCTGAACAAAGAAAAACAGCATCGCCACACGCCAACATCAAAACAAGGAGGGTGGAGGGGCCTCTACAATGTCCACATCCCCACAGAAAAATTGCAACATGTTTTTTCATCAGGCATGGTTCAACAGCCAAGTGTTTGCACAATGACCACTAGGTTATATTCCTCATTCAGACCACAGGGGTATAAATTAAGAAACATTCTTTTTTCAATCAAAACACAGTGGCAAGACAAAGTATATGAACCTTTTGGAATTTCATGGTTTTCTGCATTAATTTGTCATAAAATGTGATCTGATCTTCATCTAAGTCAAGAGTACTGATGAATATAATGTGCCTAATATAACAACACAAAAACAATTCTGATCTTTCATGTCTTTATTGAGAACAACCATAAAAACCTCATAGTGCTAGTGGAAAAATTATGGGAACCCTTGAGTTAATGACCTAAAAAAAAACAAATTGAGTCAGGTGTTAGCATACCTGGAGTATTGTTAACAAAATGAGTTTGGAGGTGTGGACTAGACCTACTCTGACTGATAAAAAAAAACACTCAAACCTTTTGAGTTTTTTCCAAACAAGAAGAATATGCTTATGTGAGCCATGCTTTGCCAAAAAGAGCTTTCAGAAGATCTACGATCAGGAATTGTTGATTTACATAAAGCTGGAAAGGGTTAAAGTGATTTCAAAGACTTTAGAAAGTCACCAGTCTACAGTTAGGCAAACAATCTACAAATGGAGACACGTTGGGACTGTGGCTGAGACTGTGGCTACTCTATCAAGAAGTGGGTGCCCAGTCAAAATGATCCCAAGAGCACAGCAAAAACTCATCAATGAGGTAAAGAAAAAACCTCGAGTGACAGCCAAAGATTTGAAGGCATCATTGGAACTGGATAACATCTATGCTCATGAGTCTACAGTACGTAAAACATTGAACAAGCAGGGTGTCTATGGCAGGACACCATGAAGGAAGCCGCTGCTTACTAAAAAGAACACTGCTGCACGCCTGAAGTTTGTGAAAGAGCACATTGACACTCCACAGTGGTATTGGCAAAATGTTTTGTGGACTGATGAAACTAAGATTTAACTGTTTGGAAAGAACATGCAGTACTACATCTGGTGTAAAAAGGGAACTGCATATCATCATGAAAACATCATCCCAACCGTCAAGTCTGGTGGAGGAAACATCATGATTTGGGCCTGCTTTGTCAACCAGTTATTAATTCCAGGGGTTCACTTACTTTTTCCACTACCATTTTGAATGTTGAATGAGTGTCTTCAATAAAGACATTAAAGATCACAGTTTTTTTTGTAGGCACATTATATTCATCAGTACTCGACTTAGATGAAGATCAGATCACATTTTATGACAAATTAATGCAGAAAACCATGTTATTCAAAGGTTCACATAGTTTTTCTTGCCACTGTATACAAGTGTCTCTACCTCTATAACTCATTTTATTATTTTTGCTACCAATTCACTTTAAACCTTTGTCTAAAATTAATAAAGGTTCTTGCCAAATGTTGAAGCAATTATTTATTTAGAATACAACTACAAGGTTCATGAATCGTGCTTGTAGCATGGTTGCATGGACAAAGAAGAAGATTTTACATGTTAACAATGACCTGATTTTATATTGTTTGTATGAGAATCCCTCATACCCCCCATGGACTGTGTTTTTACGCAATGTGCTATTCTCCTGAATAGCAAATTCTTCTACAGTAAGTGTATAAAATGGACTTACTGGCAAACATGTTTTAAGATAAATGGAATCTGAAGGTATCAGTTGGCATTCTGTAGGTAGTAGTGGACATCCTATTGTTTGATTTGAACAATGTCACAGAAAACTGAACGAGTCTACGTTTTTTTTTTTTTTAACCAAAGAAGACTTTATGGAAAAGTGGAGAATTCAAGGTGGTAAAAAGGGGTAAAAGGTGTTCCTCTGTTCCTGACCAGCTATAAATCTGGCATAGTACCTAATATACTTCAAGCGTGCAGTTGATTATTATAATCAAGCTCATTTTCAAAATTGCCCATAAACAGCTTGGGTCATTAGTAGTTAGATCACTTGCTGTGTGATGTACTTGACCATGGTTTTTGGAGAACACTTATGTGGTGTCAAAATGTGTCAAGACGTTGGGAGAAATCCAAATATTTAAATCGTCCATCCTCTTAAATTGCTTGACTTTGAATTCATAGACATCTTGTCTGACTTTGCTCATGTTTTCATCAGTGGCCATCTGTGATGTCCAATCATTGTTTAATGTCTGTGTTGAGTTTTTCAGTTGAGCTCCTTATTAGAGGTACTTCCTTTTTGATGTTCAGAATGATTAGAAACATCAAGGCTTTTGAAAAATTATGTAGTAATTTGCATCACTTCTGACAAAAGCCTTCGTTATTCCTTTCAGTAGTTGGCTCTAAGTGAATCTAATCCTCTAAGTATTTTTCCAATTCAATAGTATTTGCTAAGTGAACTGGCATGCACTTCCATCCTGACCTTGTTTTGATACACGCATGTGAAATCTGATTTGGGAACTATATGTTCAATTTTTCTACTTGTAGATAAAGCAAAGTTGCCATGTGGAAGCAAGATGTTTTCAGTCTTTTCGGCACAAAAATTAAAAGACTGAGCCTTCATAGTCCACATAAATGTGTTTGTTTCTTCACATGCTGACATGTCTTGTCCCAGCATCAGGTGGTAAAAATAAGACAAGATAAAATTAAAGTAGTATTTTGCTACCCTGTGGTGTTCTGGTTTTATCCTCTTGTTTTCTAATACTGAAGGTTCATTGGCTGTCATATACATGATTGCCCAGCCTGGTGCAATGCTATTTACCTTGAGAAGAATCACTTAAATGCATCATTTAAAAGGCAGCTACACTGTGATTGTGGCACTGGGCTTGTTTGAGATGCACTGCACCTCATCTGGAAGGTGGATATAAGCTGACCACACTTGATCTGATATAAAATTACATAAATAAATTCAAAATTGTAAGCAGTAGTCCAAACACATGTGGGCAGAACAAAGAAAAACACGACTTAGGTTTCCGTTGCTGATCTTTTAAATGTTTAGAATGTCACGACTTCTGCACAGATGCCATTCAACAATCTTCACATTCCGCTTACCAAAGGTTTCTGTGTCAGATTAAAGGAGTAATAATATTGTAGAAAAGAACTATTACAGATTGGTCTGTAGTCTATGAAAACTACATGTAATATAATCAGTTTCCAACCTCTCTGACAGATAAAAGTCACCCCATTTAATCTCTTTACCGACTAAAACTTAATAGTGCAAAAGAAGACTAATAAAATCAAAATTGCTCAAATTAAACAAGAAACTAAAATTATTGCTTCACAGTTGTACGCCTCCACCAACCACTCAACTCAACTCAACTTTATTTATATAGCGCTTTACCACAGCACAGCTGACCAAAGCACTTAACATATCATACAAATATAAAAACAACACATAAAAAGCTATAGACAGTAATATAAACACTAACACCACAGACAGAGTGTCATTCCTGGTCAAACGCCAATGAATAGAAGTAGGTCTTCAAATAAGACTTAAAAGTGGACAGTGAGGGGGCCTGCCTAATATAAAGCGGCAAGGCATTCCATAGGTTTGGACCTATCACAGCAAAGGCTCTGTCCCCCCTAGTTTTCCGCCTGGCCCTTGGTGCCTCCAGAAGAAGCTGATCTGCTGATCTGAGGCACCGCGATGGATTATACTGCATTACAGTAATCCATGCGTGATGTAACAAACGCATGGATCACTGTCTCCAAATGCTGCCTCGACAAAAAGGGTTTTAATTTCACAAGCTGCCTTAAATAAAAAAATCCAGATTTTACAACAGCATTTATCTGGCTCTCCATTCGTAAATCCGAGTCTATTTTAAAACCTAAATCATTGACAGCGGATTGCAGATAATGCCCCAAAAAGCCTAGGTCTACCGGAGGAGGGTCGCCAGACGTATCCTGGCCAAATACTATAACCTCCGTTTTTGCATCATTTAGCTTCAAGCAATTTAACGACATCCAGGCCTTAATATCTGCAAGACATGCTAAAAGCGGTTGGATCGAGTAGGTGTCCTTTTTAGTCAGTGGCATAATAATCTGGACATCATCAGCATAACAGTGAAAAGAGACCCCATGTTTCCTAAAGATAGAGCCAAGGGGAAGTAAATACAGAGAAAACAGCAAAGGCCCCAAAATGGAGCCCTGTGGGACCCCAGATAACAAGGGGGTTGTCACAGATTCCACCAGTCATAGCCCGACAGACACTGATCTACCCGATAAATACGACTGAAACCATGCTAGGGCAGCACCACGAATGCCCACTAAATCGTGAAGGCGAGATATCAAAATGTCATGGTCCACCATGTCAAAGGCGGCAGTCAAGTCCAGCAGAACAAGAATCAGAAGGGTGCTACGGCATGGACGCATAATGAAATTTTCTAAAAAATTTTTGATGAACAGGATTAAGAATTATACTTACTCCATAACAAGAGGCTGATCTGTGAAGGTCTTGTTCAGTTTGAGCCACCCACCCAGATCTGCAGAAAATAAACAAAAACAACAGGCCTTATTGTCACAAAAAACAAACAAACAAACAAACAAAAAAAGCATAGTCAATGAGGTGGTCAAGTCTGGCTAAACAGAAATAATGTAAGTTAAATAACATTAAATTCAGATGAGTATACAAAAATCTTTTTTATTTTTATGCCTGTCATGCAGCAAAAAAATGGGCCTCTTAAATGTAGAATGTACAATTTACAAAAAATACAAAGCTCAAGCTAATGAGTTTCTATTTAGGTATCATGTCTGCGTATATGTTTTAATTGCGTTTTCTGTGTTAACTGAAATTAATTTAACACAGTGCATCATTTCATACTTTCTTTAAAGCTGTAACTAATTATGTGAAAAAAGAAACTTGAAACTATCAAACTACAGTATTTACAATACATGGTTTAATGATATCTATACCCTATGTGCCACCCCCAAAATGTTTATGCATTTTAAAAAGCTCATCACTGTACAGTAACTTTATCATTTCCATGTTAAAGATATTTTACATGGTGACTTGTTAAAGGAAAAGGACACATGGAAGTAATAACATTGACCAGACCTACCCAGTCACATGTGCTAAAAACAGGGAGCTAAATGGCAGTGTCCCACAGTCAGGACACAACCACTGTTGCAGCCGTACCTAAGGTTTGGTTGTTCCCCCAGAAGATGTAAACAAAAACTGTGTCCTTGGACTTGACCTGAGCTGTGAGGAGGACATCCATCTGAGAGTCTCCATCATAGTCTCCAGGAACCACACTGCTGATCAGTGTGTCCCTGAAACAGGGAAAACAATTGTCTGTTGATATAACAATCAGTGAGCTGGTACTCTCACTTTCACTGTGCTCTTATACAAACATTCCCTCCTAAAGAGTAAACATATCCACCTTAAAATGTAAGGCACCTCCACAGCGCTGACGAACAAAAGAATGCTGTATTTTACCTGTTACATACAATGTGGAAGTGGAGTAAACTGAAACAAAAACAGCTCTGAAAGTCATATTTTACCTTGGGAAAATGTCTTTAGTGATGTTTACTTTGGGCTTGAAGTAAGGTGGTTTTGAGTCAGCCAGAAATATCACCAGCTCAGACCCTGAAACATTAAGAAGTCAACATAACGTTAGGCATACAGGATATAAGATCATTTAATCTCTGTCACTATGATTCAGGCTTTTCCAGAACGATTACGTTAAGGACCATGGACGTATTAAGGGACCTTCTGTGCACAGAACCATGAGTTAAAATTGTAGTGGCGAATTTTCGTCATAGTACAAATGTGTAAAACCCGATATTCTTGAATTACAACTTAGCCGTGCACATTTTAAGGGACTATAACGTTAAATTCTTTTGCGCAAGTGGTTAGCTAGCTAATACAACTGAAAGCAAAGTATTGAAGCATTGACATACATTGTCTGATAATGAAAATGTCAGTCTGCTTATCCGAGTTAAAATCCCCAAACGCTGCCACCGTCCCGTAGTTTTCAGTGCCGAAAAGGTCGACAGTTACATTCTGAAGAGCAAATGTGTTATACTGTCCAACAAAAAATAACAGAAATGCCAAAATATTTAGTTTGGATGTCCACATCCTTCTGATAGTGCAGTTCTTCACAACAACACTAACTGAAATACGGCACACTGCTTTATGGCAGGGTTAAAAAGCAGCATTTTCGATTAAATGGCTCATTTCGTTAAATATTAGTTTCAATTTTATGAATCTGCTATACTATTTTGATTTTAATAGGATGAGATGGAACTATTAGTTACACCGAAATAAGGATTTACAATGCAATTTTGGCATTTTCTTGTTTACGTCAGTGTCGTGCTCTCGGGTAGCTTTGTCATTTGACAGCTCAGGCTCAGCTGTGTCAAGCTAAGAGTTCAGATAGAAATAATTCGGAAAAGAATGAGGTTTTCTTCAGAATAAATCCTAACATTTAACATTCTAGCTGCTACGTAAGTAAAGTGAACGCATTAAAACGAATATAAGCTCTTAAGAATCATATTGTAATGATTTAACTAAAATGCCGTGTCAATATGATTACTTTTATATTACAGATTGTAAGCCATAGTGTGCCTGCTTTATTTTGAAGAACAACGCCGGAAAACCCCGTTATATTCCTGTTAATTGACACCGTTTAAACATGGCGAGTCTGGCAGATGTCGGCTGGAAACTCTTGGAATTCAAAGCCCGTTCAAAAAGATCAGGTCTGATTTATTATTATGCATGGCGTCGGACAACGTCACACGCCCGAATGTTGCTGTTGTGGCGGTGTTTGTGTGAAACTATTTGCTTCTAAAGTCACTGAACACGGGGGTATATTCGACTTGTTCTTCCCATTTAATTTGTTCACTGCAGTGAAGATACAAGCTTGAAAGGTCAGAGGTGTAACGTTAAATGGGCAGCACTCAGGGGCTATTTTAAGAACTGCTCACCGGGTCTGTTTTCGCTGTTGCATCTCAAAAACAGTTAACTGTACTACTGTGTGCTTACTTGAGGAGTGGGTATGAGGGCCCTGAGGGCCCTGAGTAACCTGGCACACGGCAGGTTTTGTGGTACAAGTCAGCTTGACTATCGAAGTAGCCCTAATTATATAGCCTATATTTTGAAGGACGTTATGCAGTGTAAGCACAAAATTATCACAGCAAATGTTATTTGGAGCCCCATTGTTTCTGGTGATATAACTGAGGAAACACCATGAGCTATGATAAGACTTTTTAAAATTTCCTCTTTATGGGGTATCACAGATGCATTCTAAGTCCAGATAAGAATGACTGATTGTAGACTCTGTCAGCCAGTCCACCTGTACTTTCTGTGGCTGTCATAACATTTTTAGTATGTTAATTGTAGATTTAATAACATTGTTTCTCCTTAAGTCACACAGTAGTTTCATAACACCTGCTGTTTATTTAAAATGCTGTATCTGCTAAAAGGCAGCTATGCAAGGAAAACATATCCTGATGTTAGAGCAAATATCAATTTTAATTAAAATAATACATAAGTATTAACACACTAGCATAGCATTCTGAATCCACTGAACTGTGAGGTCAATGTTATGGTCCATAGGGGGCAATAATTAGTCAAGAACTCTGCTAATTTACTCATGTGGATATGTTGAATTCTCCTATAAATTCTATTGTCATCATATAGTAATTTATCATGACTGTATATCACCACTATCTCTTAAGAGTTAGTATAATCACTTTCATTGGCAAATGCACTATAATTTTTTGCATGCTGTTCATGATTGTCATCAGATTAATCATTGTTGACACATGCATGTCTAAACTAACTTGGTGCTACTAACTCCTTCCTATGAATTGCTGTAGATTTGTGATTTAACTGTGAGAGACGATTGGCCTTAATTTCTCCTTCTGACAATGGCTGGTTCAGTGGCTCAGACTGCCTGGTCTCATCAGAAAGTTCTCAGACTGGGTAAGTAGTGGCAGCAGATCTGAACAATACAGTTTAACCAGCCACACACAGAAGCCAAGGGAGAGTGCCAGTAGATATCACAAGAAAATAAGTCTATCTTTTTAAAGATGTATTTATTTAAGGGACCATGCGCATCGATTGATGCCGATAATAAAGTAAAGGCATAAATGTGAAGGGACTAGCTCAACAGCTAGTTTGCACCTGTGATCCCAATTAAAAATTCCAAATAATGAAAACAATTAGATATAACAAATAAAAGAGTCCAAAGAGTCCTTCCTCTCACTGAGAAGGCCAATCTTACTGCATCTAAACATCACAAACAGGCTTATTATTTCTCTATTTTCTTGTGTTCTTCAAATAAATATACAGTGAAGTTTACATACATACAGTTGGTTATAGCAGAATTATTTTGTGATTATGAGAAAACAAACACATAGACCGTTAAATGCTTGAGCTCTCTTGGGCTGTTGGAAAAATTGATGGGCAAAATAGTTAAACACTGCCTGTAATCTACTATAAATTCATCCATACATCCATTTTCTATACCGCTGAATCCCGAACAGGGTCATGGGGGGCTGGAGCCAATCCCAGCTGGCAATCGAGCGAAAGGCGAGGTACACCCTGGACGGGTCGCAAGGCCAACACGCAGACGAGCAACCGCACATACTCACACTGTGTCGCGAACCCGGGACCTGCTGTGAGGCAACGGCGCTAACCACCGTGCCGCCCCTATAAATTCATATTGTTGATTATTGTAGAATTGGGTGGCACAGCAGAACGGTGTTGGCGCTGTTGCCTCACAGCAAGAAGGTCCCGGGTTTGAGCCCCTGGTGCCTTTCTGGGCGGATTTTGCATGTTCTCCCTGTGCCTGCGCGGGTTTTTTCCCGGATGCTCCGGTTTCCTCCCACAGTACAAAGACATGCCGCTTGGGTTGATTGGTGACTCTAAATTAGACATTATCCAGAAGGGCATCTGGCATAAAACATGCCAAGTTTAATGTGCGCATCGCCAGTTCGGTGGGAACTGATGATTCGCTGTGGCGACCCTTAACGGGAACAGCCGAAAGTAGAAGAAGAATCTGGTTAATACAATTCGTGTTCTTCACTGTAACCATGAAAGACCCATAAGTGACACAAAGCAAATGTACAGTATTATTGGAGTCGTCCAGCATATTATATCTATAATAGTGTTGGAGAACTGCATAAATGAAGCCAGTCATGGGATTGTTTAGAACCAGCCAAATGCAGACAGCCCACATTTCTCTGATCTCATGTTAGAAGTTAAAATTTGAATATAGGACTTCCTCGCTCCACTTTTAAAGTATTATCTTTAAAAAGAGATTGATTGGCTTTGTCCCCTACAACTTTTAAGATGATGAAAATTATGCTAATTTCAGTCTGAATGTGAATTTGTCAGTACCTGTGGTATTGACCCAAGGTCAGATCTATTAAAATGCAAATCACAGCAAAATGAAACATGTTTGAAAATGGAGGAAGCCTAGAAAATTGGGGTTTCCCTCAAACAGTGACTCTCTCTCAGCTCTGAGGAAAATGTTAGAGAATGTCTGGTGCTGGGTCACATTGTCATTTGAATGTTTAGCTCTGGGCCTGAATATTGTTTTGTGTGCTGAGTTCTTTGCAGTGTGCTGTGCTGTAGTGAAACACAGAATTTAGCAATAGCATGGTGTGTTCTGTTTTTTTTTCTCTCTTCTGTTCTCGCTTACATTAACTGAAAATCAGAAGCTATGATGAAAAAAGATATTCATAAAGTAAGTTACTGCTGATTGCAGGCCTTTTTATCTACATAATACAGTATCTGAAATAGGACTACACTCTCTAGATTGGAAAAACTAAGAAATCGGCAGATGAAAACCATGATCCTTTTATTGATTTCACCTGTTGGATCCTTAGTGTATAATGTTAATGAAGGTAATGAGGCAAGACCGAGACTAATTTTAAACATCCACAGAGAAGTGAAGCAACAGTTATGGAAAAGATGTTGTAGGTCAATATTTGGAACAGTAAAACTAGTTAACAGATTTATTTTTCCCCCAGGTTCCATCTATGAACCTCTCAAGCTGTCCATTCTCCAGCGTGAGGATGAGCCCCTATGGGCGAAGCTGGACCGCTACTACAGTGCCGGTAAGTGCGTGCATTTACTATTGGCAGCCTATCAATAGAGAGATTTAGAGCTGTAGCTAATGCAGCGCTATCTGAAACAAACAGTACTGCTGTGCACCAACAAACCACCACTTGTACCAAGTGTAGCATGAGTGATTGCAGACTATCAGGTTAATACCATGCTACAGAGATTGATCAGTTTTCTCTCTTAAAGCATGGCCACACAGCTGAGCTAGTGTATATGACCGCAAAGGCTGCAGTTTTATTGCTATTGCCAGTATTACAAACTTGCAGCCTTGGGTAATGTGATTACATCTTGCAGATAGGTAGTACTGTTAATAGAAAAACGGTTGGAAATGGGGTTCCTGGGTGTTTACAGAGGTAAAAATATTTATCCAACCTGAATTTACTTTCATGCAAAGGTGCATGGCACTGAGCTGCACTGAACACAGCTAACCGTGTTTGACAGTGGGAAGCTAGCTAGGGATCCTGTGGGCATTACTGTTGTAAAGACTCTTACATGGTCAGGGGCTCTTCAACAGGGGTAGAAGGGTAGAGAAAGCTTGAGGTCAAGGTCAAAAGTCACAGTATTTATTCCTTAATATGCACAGTTGGGAAACGTGTTTCTTTGTATGATGAAATTCTTACTTTGCCGTCCACATGAATGCCACACAACACAAGTGAAATATGAAGTAGATGAGCAATAACAGAACTCTAAATCGGTAGTAAAATCACAAATCAGCACAATAAAGAAACACACTAAAAATACAATAAGAACACAATATAATGCAGAGAGAATATATGCTACATGGGAGCTGTGGAGTGTAAATACTCAGCAGTGAATGTGTGTAATCGTGCATGTGCAAAATGAGAATGTAAACAGTACAGATGGAATTGCATGAGGTTCATCCTGAGTCAGCTGTTTAGGAGTCTGATGGCAGTCGGAGATAGAGTTTTTCAGTCTAGTGGTCCTGCATTTCACACTTCTGAACCTCTGGCTTGAGGGCAGAGGTATGAACAGTCTGTGCTGGGGGTGGGTGGGGTCCTTGAGGATGGAGGCAGCCAGCTTTCCTACGCACCCTGTGGTGGTAAATGCTCTGCAGAGAGGGCAGTGGAGTCCTGGTGATCTTCTCAACAGTCTTTACCACTCTCTGCAGGCTCTTGCG